CTTGACAACGCATGAATTGTCAACAAAAGTTATCAACAATCATTGTACGAATAGCTTTATCCATGTGTTGTTGAGATTTTGTAGAGATTGTACAGTTGTAAAAATCCTATAATTTAAGGATAATCCCTTAAATTAAGGATATTATTTTCCTTATTTTTGGTATAATTAGTTTCCTAATTTACTAGGTTTAGTCTATAAATTGTAATATTCAGTTTTTCAATAAAAGTAGGAATTGAAATACCATTCAAAGGCGTTTTATGATGGAAGTGATGAGTTGCAGATTTTCACTTTAAATCAAAAGGCCTTCATCGCCAAGCAAAGTGGAAAACCTCTATCTGAATACTATGGAGAGCTTAAAGAAGTGTTCAGAAAATTGGATTATCTTGATAAAGTAGTAATGAAGGATCCCAAAGACGTTGAAGCATATCGAAAGTCCATTGAACGACTTAGGGTACACATATTTCTTGCAGGATTGGATGGTGATTTTGAACAAGTTCATGGAGAGATTCTACACAAAGAGCCAATTCCAGATTTAGAAGAATGCTACTCTTTAGTTCGCAAAGAAGCAGTTCGCCAGACAGCTTTAGGAGACACTAGAAATTCAGAAGCTTCCACCATGGTGGCTCGAAATTGATCTACTTCAAATTCGCAGGATCGAACTATCATTAACCATCCTAAGACCATGACTGGTGCTGACAAGTCCACCTACAAATGCACCCATTGTAAGCAAACTGGACATACGAAAAGTTGATGTTTCGAACTTGTAGGATATCCAGAATGGTGGGATCATAGTCGTGAAGACAAATTCAAAGAAGACCTCCATTGCAACAATTGCAGAAGTAAAGCCACGAGATGATATCGCTGAAAAGGCTTCGGCATTGGTCATAGCTGCAAATAATGGTGGTAAGGTTTTAAATATTTCTACACCTGTTTCCAATAGTGCATGGATAATTACTTTTGGTGCTACAGATCACATGACATTTGATTCTAGACAGGTCTTTACCCTTAATCCATCCTTACAAAAATTTGTCTATACTGCTAATGGTACCTCAACCCCAAGTATTGGGGAAGGATCTTTAACCTTCACTAATAATTTGAGCTTAGATTCTGTTTTAGTTGTCCCATCCTTAGACTATAATCTTTTATCGGTTTCACAAATAACTGCAGCTTTATCTTATGTTGTAATTTTTTGGCTTGAATTTTTTGTGTTTAAGGACATCCAAACAAAGCAGACGGTTGGTTATGGTATTAAAAAGGGAAAGCTGTATTAATTGGATTTGGTGCCAAGGAGTTCAAATGGGTTACACCAAACTTTGACAGTAGATTGCCCTGAAGGGAAGAAGAAGAAATCTGAGATTTGGTTATGACATCGACGTCTAGGGCATGATTCCTTTATTTATTTGAAAAAATTATTTCCAAGTTTATTTGCAAAATTTGATATTTCTAGTTTTCAATGTGATGTTTGTGAACTAGCAAAGAGCCATTGAACTACTTTTCCATTATGCTTGAATAAAAGTCCACTTCATTTTATGGTTATACATTCTGATGTCTGGGGTCCATCTAAAGTCGCTACTTTGGGTAGATCATATTGGTTTGTTACTTTTATTGATGATTGTTTAAGGATGACTTAGCTGTATTTGATGACATCCAAAGGGAAAGTGAACTCTTTATTTCAAAATTTTCATGAAATGGTTAAAACACAGTACAATGCAGAGATTTGAGTTCTCCGCAATAATAATGGTGGGGAATACCAGAGTTTCAAACTTCAGTAGTATTTGGAAGCACATGGGATTATTCACCAAACTACTTATTCCGACTCGTCCCAATAGAACGGTGTTGTAGAACGTAAAAAAATCGACATTTATTAGAAGTCGTTCGTGCATCATTAATAGAAGCCCATATGCTATCATCCTATTGGGGAGAAGCACTTAGCTCAGTAGCATATTTAATCAATCGGATACCCTCCAACTTCACTAACTTTCAGACACCGCTCCAAACTCTTAATGATGCAGTTGTTGCTCCAGCTATCCCTAATTTACCACGTTGTGTCTTTGGTTGTGTAGCATTCGTACACATCCATAAACATCAACGCCACAAGTTGGCTCCTCGAGCGCTGCGATGTGTTTTTGTAGGCTATGCTACCAATAAAAAAGGATACAGATGTTATCACACTCCAACTCGACGAATGTTTATCTCTATGGATGTTGTTTTTCATGAAGAGACAATGTATTTTTCTTCCGAGAGTAAATTTCAAGGGAAGAAACAAAGAGAAATTCAGACTCTAAATCTCCAAGACTACAATTATCAAACTTTCGATGACAGCCAATACTTGGATTTTGGTGATCAAAATATGGGCAACTTAGATAGAGGTGATAAAACCTTGGATCAAAGTGGTGAAGAACGTCAAGAGACTAAAGATGTAGCTTCTTCTCAAACTCCATCTTTGTTTGAATTCGAGCCCTTCATAGCTGATATACCTAACCAATTGCCTGCTAAGGATGTTCAGAATTTAATATAATGTCCGAGCCACTCAAAAAACAGTTACCTGAGTGTCACATGAGAGGTATGCCTAAACCTACATATGAACCCGATCTTTCTAGTAAAGTTAAGTATCCTATTAGTCAGTACGTGTCTAACCATCGATTGTCAGAATCAAATTTGTCATTTGTAAATCAATTATTTACTATATCTACTCCTAACAGTGTGCAGGAAGCCTTAGCCAATCCAAGGTGGAGAACAGAGGAAATGAAATCTTTACAAAAAAAAAAAAAAAAACATGGAAACTTGTTAATTCCACTAGGAAAGAAACCAATTGGATGTCGATGGATCTTCAACATAAAGTATAATACTGATGGCAATTTAAAGCAAGACTGGTGGCAAAAGGTTACACTCAGACCTATGGGATTGATTATACCGAGACATTTGCACCCGTAGCCAAAATCAACACAATTCGAGTATTATTATCTTTAGCAGCAAACATGGATTGACCATTACTACAGTTTGACGTAAAGAACGCTTTTTTGCACAATGAATTTTTTGAAGAAGTCTACATGGATCTCCCACCTGGGTGTGTGATACCAGAAGGATCTAGTCGGAAGCAGGTTGAAGAAATGAAAGATCTAATAAAGGGATATTTCTATTCCAAAGAAAGTATGCCTTAGATCTATTACAAGAAACTGGTATGTTGGCATGTCAACCGACGGATACAGCAGTAGAAGAAGGTATGAAGTTGTGCATAGAGTCCAACCAAATACCAACTGATAAGGTTAGATATCTAAGATTTGTAAGAAGATTGATGTACTTATCACACACAAGACCAGACCCAGCCTATGCATTGAGTATTGTCAGTCAATTTATGCATAATCCTGGAGAACAACATATGAATGCAGTAATGTGAATTTTGAAATATTTGAAGGGTGGTCCGAGAAAAGGAATTTTGTTTACGAAAAACATAGACTATCAAAACATAGATGCATACACTGATGCAGATTGGGTTGGAGCTATAGATTATAGACGATGTAACCTTGTCACATGGAGAAGCAAGAAATAGAGTCTTGTTGCCCGTTCAAGTGCAGTAGCTGAATTTAGAAGTATGGCCCTTGGACTCTGTGAAGCTTTGTGGTTGAAACTTCTCTTGCAAGATTCTGGTTATCAATCTACACAACCAATTCGACTATACTATGATAATAAAGCAACATGTGATATTGCCCATAACCTAGTTCAACATGATCGCACGAAGCATGTTGAGATAGACAGATTTTTCATTAAGGAAAAATTGGAGGAAAAAATTGTTGAATTACCTAAGATACGATCTGAAGACTCTGACATTCTTACCAAAGTAACATCAAATCGAGTATTCTCAAAGTTCTTAGATAAGTTGGGCATGTGTAACATCTATGCACCAATTTGAAGGGGAGTGTTGAGAGTTTGTAGAGATTGTACAATTGTAAAAATCCTATAATTTAAGGATTTTATTCCTTAAATTTGGGATTATTATTTTCCTTATTTTTGGTATAATTAGTTTCCTAATTTACTAGGTTTACTCTATAAATTGTAATCCTTAGTTTTTAAATAAAAGTAGGAATTGAAATACCATTCATAATATGTGTGTCATTAGCATAAAAATTTGACAAGTTGAAATATGGAATCTTCTAATAATATTATTAAAAAAAAAAGTTAAATCTTTTCAGTAACGTGTAAGTTCCATGTTATTCCCAATTACAAAATACATTGAAAATGAAAAATCTGCATCGCAATTACCACATTATATCATTAATGAACTCGATGGAAATTTATTTTCATTAGTGTAACCTCTCTGGTCAATTAAGAGAACATAATGAACCAGTAACCACTCATTTGTAATTAGGATTTTATTTAAATAAATTTGATTGTAACCTCCCCTTTTAATGAAATGAATGCTAAATTATTTATCATATAATTTCACTCATCATGCATAGAAAAGATTGGTCCGTTACGCTACAAATTGAAAATTGCTATATATATATTCAAAAAATTATCTAAAAATGTTCAAATATAATTTTTTAGCCTCATAAGCAGCTTTTGATTTTTTAAAAGTCCTGCCAAATAGACCGTCAATCAAATTATACTTCAACTCGTTGAACTACATTAAGCAAAATTGTAACATGACATATATTGTCAATACCATAATATTTTTTGAATGTATTGTTTAAAGCATGTCACGTAGTTGCAATTGTTTTAAAAAATAACATGGGATTTAATCTAGAATAAGTTAAGGTTTGAAAAGTCGGCTTAACGTTCAATTCTATAAAAAAGAAAGAAAAAAAAGGCTTTTTCTTCTTCTCTTAAGTTAAGTAACAATATGAATTTGAATATGCTCTAAATATTATATATATATATATATATATATATAATAAAAAGCTTTTTCTTCTTCTCTTAAGTTAAGTAAAAAAATGAATTTGAATGTGCTCTAAATATTCAATTATTCTTCATATAATTGAATTAGATTTTGGACTAGTTCACATTTTTTCAATTGAACTGAACAGTCCGATCTTATAACCATAATACCAGTAGATACATGCATAGGTGAATTATGTCACTCGATTATAGATGTTCATCGCACCATTAACAAGTAATCACACAACTACTTGCACTAATTCTAGTTTCTTTAACAAATTGATTGTGTATTTTACTTAATTGGAAGAGTGTTTGTTCATGTGTAATGATTAACCTGACTTAAGAGAAAAAATCACAAAAAAAGCAGCCCCAAAATTGTTTGCATGCAGTGCCATTTTGACAAGTCCAAAGCATGCACAACGCTAAATCCAAAGTATTCAGCACTCTATCCAATTCAAAACAAAAGCCACATTTTTAACAGAGAAAAAAACCAATATTTATAAAGGGTTTATTATTATTTATTTATTAGTTTATTTATTGGAAAAAAGATGCTTTTACTTTACTCTCATGTATAAACACGAGAGCTATTACTCGCTAGCTCATAAGTATCTCACCATTTTTCTATCTCAAAATTCATCTTGTACACGCCTAGCTTTTGTTTGGTAAAAATTAAAATTCAGATTTTAATCTGAATTGAAATCGAAATTGAAGTCGAAGTCAAAAGTCAACAAGTCATTTTAATTACATATTTTATGGGATCTATAATTTTTCAATAGCACGTTTCATCAATTTTTATCAAAATTTATTAAACATCTATTTTAATCCTCATCAAACCT